AGTTATTGGTTAAATAAATGGTTTCTGGTTTCCATACTTTAAATTTAAGTGCAGTATTTATTGTTTGCTCTTAAATCTTCTTTCTTGGAAAATTTCTCTAGCTTCTGCCTATTTTGACGTTAAATAATGGCTTCTTTTAGCTTTGTTTGGTATTTGCATTAGCTTTTGCCTTTTGTATCTCTAGGTGTTTGTGGTTAGTGTTTTTGTTATGCTGCCTAGGTGTTCTCTGTTTTTCTCTCAGGTAGGATAATTTCCCAATCTTCTTCAAACTCATATTTTCCTGCTTGTACAAATAGGGAGTAAGCCATGTATTTGTGTTGTGAAACTTATGACTTATCCTGATGATATGAGATGTGTATCTAAAACCAAAGTAAACTGCTGATGGGATGGCATAAAAAACAACTAACCTTTGAATTATCAGTGTCTTGGTAAGTCAAAAATACTGTTACTGGAGAATTAAACTCCCGGTCACTCGTGGGAGCGAGGTGGAGATTCTTGGGGTGCCGCTGAAACAAGCATTCTCAGAAGCCCCCACTGGAGGGTGGGATGTGGAAGATTTTATTGGCATGGAGTTACATTCCTCAGTTTCCAGTGCCCTATTTCTTCCAAGCCAGTCCTGAAACAGGGGCAGCTAGGAGTTCAGCAAAGACAGAAAGAGAGCCAGTGTCCAGAGTTTCTGTGCCATCTTGCAGCCAGGTGTGGTTCAGCATCCAAGCTAATTAAAGTCCATTAGTCCATGTGTGGAGTCCAACATGGCCATGAGCCATGTGGGTGCAGGGTAGGGAGTGCATCCCCAGACCACAGGAGAGCCAGGGCCCAGTGGCCTAGAGCCAAGAGAGGAGAGACAGCTTCCTTTGTTTGGAAGTTTATATATTTAGATTTCGTGCACTTGCAGTGGCCACGCCCATCTTGGCTGCTGACTCGTTTTCTGGTGTGATTGGTGGTGGGCAAGCACCTTCCCACCCGTCACTCCAACCTTTACTGGGCATGTGTCTAAACTGACTTTGTCCAGTCCCTTCCCCCATCAATCAGTGGGAATAGACTTGGAAAGTGTTAGATACAGCTTTTTGGGAAAGCTGTATAAATGGCATTCCTATATTATCTGGTCTCCCCTTTCACTCCTTTCCTGTTAAATAATAACCAGATTGTTAAAATGGACAGCGCCAGTACCTAGGAATATTTTGGGAGTATTGCATATTTCTTAAAAAGCTGTTTATGAAAGTTATTTATGATCTACTCTTTGCTTTTTTATATTTTGTTGTCATTATCTAATATGATGCTACTGATGCATGGATATGGATTTATTTAGTTTCACTTTTTTCCCCTCTTGTAAAAGAAGCTTATAATTGCTTAACATCTCTTAGAGGACAGAGGAATCCTCTTTACTTTCTATTATCCAACAGGAGTCTCTCATTTTTTGGCTGGTATTCAGATTTCTAAATAAAGATTTACTTTTTGCTTATTTTTAAAATGATAAAGTAAATGCCATTGAAGAAGAGCCCACTCATTGCACAACAAATGGTGGGAAATGAGAGGAGGGAAAAAAAAAACTAAGAAAGCTTGGATTTGCTTTTTATAGCTTATTTACGATCGTGGAACATTTTTTTATTCATTTCTATAGATTTTGGAAGTCTTCCTGGTGTTTCTAGCCGCGCCAAGTGTTGGGTAATTTTTTCCTGCCCCTCCAATAGTGAAGTGAGCAAAAACACCCAGCAGGAGGCGATTGAAGAGCCGTCACAGGTAATGTCTTCTTTTCTTCTTACTATTGATATGTGTACAGTAATGTTCAGTAATATACTTTAAAAAAGCCTAGTTGAACTTACATATCCAGGTGAACACTATCTTGTTCAAAACAGTCTTTTTAAGAGGCGATTTTCTATCCTCTGCTCAAAGCATTAAACATTTTTTCTACATCTTGATCATCTGGTACCATTCTTTAAAGCATCCTATTTTCAGTGGTGGCAAATCTCAACCCTGTGAGCATGTATTTGGGAAGTAGTATGAAGTTGTTTAGAACTAGGGTGAAGAACCCGGGGAGCTCTAATTTTAATAAGAAAGCAGAAGGAACAATAATGTAATGAAAGCAGTTTTTCATTTTGTAATTTGTGTATATGTTTAGCAGGCTCATATGACGTATTGAAAGTTAGTTCTAAGAAGAGGTGACTCTAAGTTTCAAACAATGATATTGTTAAAACAAGTGATTAGGTTTCATACCTTACAGAGAAGCATATATTATTTATTTAACTATGTACATGTTGGTATTCTTTCTTATTAAAATCAATCAATCTGTCAGTATTATAGAAAGGGTTCCTGTATTAATCAGGCACTTTTGTTGCCTGTGTTTTCGGTGTCATATCCAAGAAATCATTGCCAAGTGCAGTGTTTTGTGGCTTTTCTTCTATTTTTTCCTCTAAGAGTTTTATAGTTTTACCTCTTATGTTTAGGTCTTTGATCCATTTTGAGTTAATTTTTGTATATGGTGTAATGGAAGGATCCAACTTTATTCCTTTGCATATAGATAATCCAGTTTTCCCAGCATGATTTGTTTAAGAGAAGTTTATACTTTTAAAGACAGTTTAGGATAAGGAAATCAGAGTCATAAATGGCTATGTTGTGTCTATGTAGGAATTCTTATAGTGTCCCCTGTTTCTAATTAAGAAGATATTTCAGAAACTAAAGGGCATTACATGGATTTGAAGCTCACTTTAAACTAAGATTTTATAATTGTAGGTAGGCATAGAGCCTTTGTTTAAGTTTGTGTTAGTTATTAGCGGGCAATGACTTCGTATATGTGGGATTTAATTATTGCAAACTCTGAGTGTTGGTCTTCAGTTAGGGGGGGGTGTGTGTGTGTGTGTCTCCCGTTACAGGACTTTTCCCAGTTAACTCCAGCCAATGAGAGATCCTCTAATGTTTTAGGGAGCTTTAGTTTCAAGGCCATAACAGAATCAACATTCTCATGAAAAGGAATAGCCAGTAATAAATCCCAGGAAAATCTATAGCCAGCTTGAACCACTCATCTGTCTGTGTAGCGAAAGTTACTTGGAGACTGTTTTTGCCTCTTGGCTCTAAAAGCAGTTATGTATGTTGACAGAATGATACTTACACTGATTTTGAAAAGGTCAAAAACCAAGCATTGTGCCCTTAGAAGTGTGGTTATTTTGGGGAGGACAGGAGGGTGATGAGGGTGGGGTTGGGAGAACACAAAAGCAAACGTGTCACCGAGAGGAAAGCCTGGACAGAGATACTTAGATGTAGGGGGAGAGTCTTGGGTGGGTGTGGGAGAAACATGGATAGTGAAAGGATATAACACTTACGTGTGTATCTTTCTTCCAAGGAAATGATAGTGGATACTAAAGGTAGCACAGCAAGGACCACAAGTAAAAAATGGGCCTGAAAGGGTTGAAGACAATTTGTTGTAAAACGTGTATGATAGCCCTGTGGAGACGCTGCCAGTGGAATTCACCTGCTATGGATTTTGGATGTGTTCTCAGAACAGTGAGACAAATAGCAGGTAGACAGAGGCAATTACAGGTATTTTGAGCTGTTGAGAGAATTATTTGAATACAGTATTTCAGGGTTAAGAGCTGTCTGCATGAGAAAAGAGTAGCAGTGAAGCAGCATTAGAATGCTGTGTGTTCTAATGTAATACCAAAATGCCTGAGTCATGCAGAATTGGTGTGGGGAGTGAGGAATGTTTTTCTGTGGTTTCCCCGGCTTTGTGTGGCACCAGTGGGAAACCATTTCCAAAAGTGGTTTTGAGTAAAAATTTAGTCTCCAGATTGGTCTGGGACTAGATTTTCTGTGTAAATAATACAAAAGATACCTAAAAATGACTTCGTAGAGTCCAGTAATCAAACCAGCTATGTAATGCTATCATTCTAAAATTTGTTCATTCTGCTTATGTGTTTTCGTAATTTTATAGATTTTAAAATTATGATCTATCTCTACCATTTTCTGTAAACTCAGTCTTTTTATTTATTCAGTCATTGTTGTCTCTTCACGTGTTTCATCACCCTTATAATTTTATTCTAGCTCAGTTTGGGCCTTCTCTAATTCTGTATGTATCTTCCAGTCAACCAGAATGGCTTAGTATAAATGTATATAATTTATGTTTGGTCATGTTTTCTACTTTATTTTCAACATCACTCTTGGAATACTTTGCCTGTCTTGGTCTTTAAGGGCGTAGGGCTGCACTGAATTGGTGCTCTCAGAGAAAAGTGTCTGATGACTTTAGTAGAGACCAGAGATTGTCAAACTGTGGTCCCCAGATGAGCAGCAGCTTGTTAGAAATGGGAAACTTGTTAGAAATGTAAATTCTTGGATAAGAGCTCTGAGGCTAGAACTCAGAAATTTGTATTCAACAAGCCCTCTAAGTGATTCTGATGCATGTTAAAGTTTGAGAAATGCTCTGGACACTCTACTTAGCTACGTACTATTGTCCAAGCCATTCATTTTCTCTAGCCCTTAGTCTCCTGATCAGATAGATTAGGTGTTCTCAAATGTTGGTGTGCACATGAATTATCCGGTGAGCTTGTTTCAAAAATTTCAGAAAGCAGTAAATTTGTCCTAACCTCATGCCCCAAGATTCTGATTCAGTAGGTCTTGGATGATCCAGTTATCTGCTTTTCAGCAAGTTCCCCCAAGTAGTTCTAACTATGATCTGGACCAATGGGTGTGTCTTGAGTTTCCTTCAAGCCTCAAAATGATGTGATTTAAAATGGCTTTTTTTTTTGAGTTCTTTCTTTCTTTTTGAGTAGCTGAAAGCTTGGTCCAGAACTTTATCTGAAAAATACTCTTTGGATTATTTTTCACTGAAGCCATTATGCTCGGATTTATTTCCTTGAAAAATATGGTTCTTCCTTGCCTACCCACTTTACTATCTGAGATTTTCATGAGGCTTATCATCATTGGTAAGGCCATTCGTTTGCTCACTAAAAGACCTTTCTGATGCTTGTAAATTTAGAGATTTCATTATGTGATTTTCCTAGATAATTTATACAAATTATTAATAAACTTTAAACACTGGTTCTAAAGAAGTACTACTTTTTATGGAGATCTTTTCTCCCCTGCCCTTTTCTTTTTTAAAAAATACGTCTTTATTGATTTCAGAGAGAGGGAAGGAGAGGTAGAGAGAGAGGGAGAAACATCAATGATGAGAGAGCCATTGATCGGCTGCCTCCTGCACGCCCCCGACTGGGGATGGAGCCTGCAAACCCGGGCATGTGCCCTGACCGGGAATCGAATCCCCATTGCCTGGATCCTAGGTCCACGCTCAACTGCTGAGCCATGCCCGGCCGGGCTCCCCTATTTTTTTCAATCTCTAAGCTTCTTCCCTATGCATGGTGATTTTCCCTCATCTCACTGTCATTGATATTTTTGTTCGTTTCTTTAATTTTTATGGTTCAGTCTTACGAGAACTATTTTTGTGTGAGTTTCCCTCGTCTCACTGGCTGCTGCTCCTTAGTCGTCCAGTGCTGGACAAAGCTTCTGCTGGCCACCCCGCTGCTGAGCAAACCCCTCCAATTCTGAGGAGTAGGGCGGTTCAGACATTTGAAGAATCTCACCGCGAGTCTGACAGCTGGAAGAGTGCAGGTAATACCTGGGCAGGACCTCACATTTTGACAGTTAGGAAATAAAAGAGAAATGTTATCTTTCGCCTCTTTTGGTCCTAAATTTCTATTTATTGTACTAAAAAAAAAATCTAGTCTTACCCAGAGAGGGACTGACAAGAAGAGGACTCTTTTCCCTCCTCCAGTCCTGTGCTCCACCCATAGTGAACTACTTGCACTCCCTGCCGTACATCATGTCCTCTCTTCTTCCTCTGGGCCTTTGCAAATGCTCTTTCCTTTCCCTGGAATACTTTTCTCTCACTGCCCCATTTGCCTGCCTAACACTACCATTTTCAAGTCTCAACTTAAATTTGATAACAACTGGGAAGATTTTTCTGATCCTATTTACGTTCCAAAGTTTGGGTTAAGTGCTTTTTTCCTGTATGTTGTCATAGCATACCATTCTTTTCCTACTGTATGACTCATCAAACTGCTTTTAATTGTCTGTTCAGTTGCTTCTTTTAGACTATAAATTGCATCTTATTTTGTGTTTCTATCACTCAGCACAGGTGTTAAATAGATATTGATTGTATGGAAGATTAAATGAGTATTTAAATGAGCTTATTGATTTCTGCCATGCTTCTTACCTTTGTACAGTAACTCTTGCAGGGGATATATCAGTTAGGGTTAGGCTCACCCATAAGTAACTACCAGGATCAATGGCTTAAACAATTTAGGGGATTATTTTTCTTTCTCATAAAATAAGCCTGGAACTAAGCTATCCAGGCTTAGTAGAGTGGTCCCTTGATTATCAGGGACACACTGTCTTTCTTCTCTACTCACCTGGGTGTGATCCTTGCCCCCTGTTCTCATGTCAGCATGGCTGCCAGAAGGCTAGGCACCTGCAGGCCCTCATCCTAGGAAAGAAGGGAACAGTCAAAAGCAAAAGGGAGCTTTGTCAGCTGCCTGCCTTCTGCCCCCCTCTTCACCCCTTTTAGGGGCTTTCCTGGAAGGCTGTCCAAGGATTTTCCCTCATACTCATGGATCAGATGATATCACAGTATCACTTCTGGCTGCAAAGGAGAGTAGGAGATAGTTTTTTGCCTTAACTCTCTGCTGCTTGGTACAAAATTGGAGTTCTGTTAATAAGGAAGGAGAGAATAGATATTGATTGGTGACTAGAAGTTT